CGGGGTGGTGATATCGGTGTGTAACCGAATTACCACAAGTGGGAAATACTTGGTAGATTTCTACATATCAAAGATAGAGAGGGATAATATTATGCAGTTCGGTCATGAGCGTGTAAAACTACATCACTCAAACGTAAAGTTGGTAAGTTGTAATTCTAGAGTAAAGATAATGCAATGAGCTTAACTCTTTGGATAAAGGATTCTACCAATCCATTTTGAGTCTAGACATTAGGACAAAGTGCTAACCTTCTATCCTAGGGCCATATTAAAGGCACAAAGGAGAATTATGCAACGTTGCCCATTTGATTTGCTTGAAATCGATGGTTAGGATAATCAACAAATGGTTTTTGTGTGGATAAAGACACACTTGAGACCATCATGCATATGTGTCTTTTAAAACCATGGAATACCCGAATAGTCTAGTCAATGGTTGGGAAGAGTGACTTACCTTGCATTCAAGGAGTTTGAGTGGTTCAGCATAGACTTCAAGGTGCGTGAGCCTTAAAATTAGCTTCCCTGCATCAGATGTAGCGCACATAAAATCCAAATATTGTTAGAATTTAGCATCATAATAGTAACCAATGGAATTGCTGATAGTTTCTATTTCAACCCAATGTCCCGATGACCAAGGCGAGTATGCCAAGTTTGTCATACAAAATACATTCTTGAAAACTATCTTGTACGCAACATGTGCTACGGGTTTTGTAGTATGTGTAATACAATCCAGACGATAAGGAGATAATGTGTTTGCCATATCCATATATGTTGAAGAGAAAATATTCCTCTTTATTTGTTGGGGAACGTAGCATGCAATTTCAAAAAATTTCCTACGATCACGCAGGATCTATCTAGGAGATGCATAGCAACGAGAGGGGGAGAGTGTGTCCACGTACCCTCGTAGACCGAAAGCAGAAGCATTAGGTTAACGCGGTTGATGTAGTCAAACGTCTTCACGATCCAACCGATCCAAGTACCGAATGTACGACACCTCCATGTTCAGCACACATTCAGCTCGATACGTCCGTCCGCACACGGCTAGGAGAACAACTGTTGTGCCTTTGGGGTGCCCCCGCCCCCCGTATATAAAGGAGGGGAAGAGGAGGTGGAAGGCCCAAGGGGGGGCGCGCCATGGGGGGAGTCCTACTAGGACTCCACTCCTAGTAGGATTCACCCCCCCCCCTTCCTTCCAACGGAGAGGGGAAAAGGGAAAGGGGGGAGAGGGAGAAGGAAAGGGGGGCCGAGCCCCCTTCCCTTGTCCAATTCGGATAGGGCAGGGGGAGGCGCGCGCCTCCTCCTGTGGCCTTCCTCCCTCTCGCCACTATGGCCCATTAGGCCCATTAACTTTCCGGGGGGGGGTCCGTTAACCTCCCGGTACTCTAAAAAATCCCCGAACCTCTTCAGAACCATTCCGGTGTCCGTATATAACCTTCCAATATATGAATCTTTACCTCTTGACCATTTCGAGATTCCTCATCATGTCCATGATCTCATCCGGGACTCCAAACAAACTTCGGTCACCAAAACACATAACTTATAATACAAATCGTCATCGAATGTTAAGCGTGCGGACCCTACAGGTTCGAGAACTATGTAGACATGACCGAGACACATCTCTGGTCAATAACCAATAGCGGCACATGGATGCTCATATTGGTTCCTACATATTCTATGAAGATCTTTATCGGTCAAACCGCATAACAACATACGTCATTCCCTTTGTCATTGGTATGTTACTTGCCCGAGATTCAATCGTCGGTATCATCATACCTAGTTCAATCTCGTTACCGGCAAGTCTCTTTACTCGTTTGGTAGTGCACCATCACGTAACTAATTCATTAGTCACATTGCTTGCAAGGCTTATAGTGATGTGCATTACCGAGAGGGCCTAGAGATACCTCTCCGATACTCGGAGTGAAAAATCCTAATCTCGATCTATGCCAACTCAACAAACACCTTCGGAGACACCTAAAGAGCATCTTTATAATCACCTAGTTACGTTGTGACGTTTGATAGAACACATGGTGTCTTTCCGGTATTTGGGAGTTGCATAATCTCATCGTCAGAGGAATATGTATAAGTCATGAAGAAAGCAATAGCAATAAAACTAAATGATCATTATGCTAAGCTAACGGATGGGTCCTGTCCATCACATCATTCTCCTAATGATGTGATCCCGTTCATCAAATGACAACACATGTCTATGGTCAGGAAACTTAACCATCTTTGATTAACGAGCTAGTCAAGTAGAGGCATACTAGGGATACTTTGTTTTGTCTATGTATTCACACATGTATCAAGTTTCCGGTTAATACAATTCTAGCATGAATAATAAATATTCATCATGATATAAGGAAATATAAATAACATCTTTATTATTGCCTCTAGGGCATATTTCCTTCATTATTGTCATCATAAGTTTCGCTATGGAAAATATTTTGATGGATATCTCCATAGTTCAGTAGGGTACGAGTTGAACAGGGACACAATAAAGCATCCTTGATGGTACTCGAGTACCCATAGGGATAGTAAATATGACTCGAATTGAGCCAACTATTACCTCATCGCGTCTAGCGATTTCAAAATATATCCATTTCTATCAATGAGAGTGGAAACATTTTACTTCCCTGAGTATAGAGTTCATGGTGCATATGCCCACAATACACATATCATCTTTCATCAGATTGACCCCGTAGAAATCTACATATAGACTTCAGGATTCTCATATGAAAATTATTGTCAGATATATAGAATACATACATATGTATTGTACCAAAGTGCTGATACAATATATGATGACAAAAATACTTATGTTCTTACTGGAACATCATAAATGGACATAAATTATATTGACCACTTAGGAGATTGAGAGACTATTCATAGCCTCCAGACATGTCGGTTGAGGCATATTCAAGTATTCAACCATCACATTCTTCGTGCCCATAGGGTCCCTTCACCATTGGTGATGTCGGGTTGAAGGTTTAAGTGAGCAAACCTTTGCCCTTGAGGTCCTCTGCGTTCCAGGGATTGCTAATACAGAATACCAAATGCTAAGATGTGGATCGATATAATGCCTTATGACGTATAAGACAACATTTTTTCTGTTAGTAGTGTGATCCCGACCAGAAGTGAATCCTACGGGTCTTAGATTGCACACATTATCCCACGACACACAAGAGCGATCATGTTGTCCATGACCTGGGTAGGGCAGTGGTGGCCCTTGAGGGCGAATGCCTCAAATCCCTAGCCATCAGGTACCAAAGATAATTAATTTACGGTCAGTAAAGTAAAGACCATCATGGTTAGTGTTGTAATGAATTTTGCAAAATTAATGGATATTTCAAGGAGTTACTTGAAACCATTAGTGTGAACTTCAAATTGTTAAGCATAACACCTTGTAGATACTCCCCAAAATAAATTTTGGGGTCTATCTCTCATCACTAGAGAGTATAATCTAATGAAATCAGTAGATACTCATATTTCTAGTACCTTATGTCATAACTTAATAAAATGTATGAAAGAGCACATTGTTGAGTAATCATAATGTCAAATATGACAAAATGTAGGCTTAAGCAGTAGTGGTGATAATCTACAAAGCAGTAGAACTACACACTATCTAGTGATCCCAATACATCAATTCAAAGAAATCACTTTGAATTTTGCATCCATATTTGCAAGATATTGAAAATCTCAATTGCAAATAGATGTCATTATTCTCGACAGGCCCGTATGTGGGCAGGTGCAACCGGAGCAGTTGCACAGCCCCCCAAGATCTTGGGGGCCCTAATTTTTTAAGTGCAGTACATGATTATTGTTACTATAGTTAATCTGGTATTACTAGAGATTAAATAAGGCACCCATGGCCAGTCATGTCCCGGTCTTATCTTCACAAGAGTCGACGCAGTGGCGTGTGCAAACGCATCAAATTCTGCTCAGTGTCAGCCATAAATCAAATCGCTACAACTTAATACTTCGTCTCCTCGTCTCCTCTCTCTGACTTTTCTCCAATGGATTCATAATTTAATATTTCAAAGTAATAAATATTTTTTTGGGGTATGATTTATATCTTTGATATTTCTCAATGGTTAATGGAAAATATTCCAATTAATTTTCCTGTATATGGGGCCTAAATTCTCATTTCGCACCGGGGCCAAAAATTTTGAGGTACGACCCTGATTCTCGACATGTGGGAAGCATGGAAATATATTACATCATAGATAGATTCTGGAATACATGGTACTCAACAGAAAAACAATACTGAAATAGATGTACTGAATTTAACAGAGTCTAAAACAGGAATAAAATCATTGCTAGAAGTGCTTTTAGAACACTAATATTCTGCTAAAAAGCTAGTAATTAAGTAGGGGCTGGTGGTGGCCCAGTAAGCATGCAAATGGGCCAACTAAGGCAGCCATCGCAAAAACCAGACCAGCCTGGTCAACCGGTCGGATAAGGGAGAGAGCGACCAGGAGCAAATCTAGCCATGTCTCAATCCCCATCCCAGGACAGACACAGGCGGAGATTCCCATGGTCGGTCGGGCGCATCACCGGCGGCGAGATGAGCTCCCGCCGCGCTCGTCCTCGTCGGAAGAATCTCCAAGAAGGAGGGTGTCGGGCGCGACGCCGTTGGAGGCGCCGTTCGCGAGCCCGAGCGCCGGCGGGCTCCATGTGCTAACGCAGCCGGAGCGGCTGCTCGACGGCGGGCTCGCCAGCGGGACACCGAGCTCCAAGACGCGACGGCTGAATCTCATGCACGGCAAAGACGGAGGAGTGGCAGGGGAGCCGCAGCCCATGGGGGACAGAATATGCGGGTATCTCGGCGGCACGAAGGCGAGCGCGTGACTTGCGGCGATCTCAACAACCGCGGGGGTCGGAGATGGCAGCGACGCGGCCTCGTGCTTGTCGTTGTCAAGGACGACGATGTCGTTCCCCAGAGGCAGAACTGCTTCAACAGGGGCGACGGGGTCGACGTGCAGCATTGGAATTTCCGGTCCGGCGTCCAGTTAGTTGATCACCGCGGGCACCAGAGGCGCGAAGTGCTGCGCTTGCGCGGCCGGCTCAAAAGCCTGCACTGGCAGCGGCGTACATTGTAAGTCCGGCTCTAGGATCTGCACCGACATGCTCGCGACGCCTGTTCTGGTGGTGGTGACGACGACCCTAGCAACGCGCGCACTCCACGCTGGAAGCAGCGGAGTCTGCCAAAACCATTGTTAGGATTTAAAAAGTAGATTAATTAGCACATGCTAATTAATGAATAATTATTAGCAAAGGGATGTGTCCAACCAAGAATAGTCATGTCTCTCCTCTCTCTGTTCAACATGCACCTGTTCGGAGGGATGCCTCCGAACAGGCAGATCTTCTTCCCACCTCTTCAAGATGTATATATACTTGAGAATCAATAGAAATCAGTGATGATCATCCATTACTTTCATTCAATCTCGTTTTACTCGAACACGTTATCAGCACTCTTAACCCAGAGCAATTTAGCCACACAGGAGTCCGCAACAGCGGAGAGATCTCTGACGCATTTGAAGGCGCAACAATGTCTTGAGCGCGACGCCCGTCCAATGACAAAGTCCTCCGACGCTCTGTCCACGGCACACCAGGAAGCACCCAGCGCCCGACGGCCATGTCGCTGCCCCCGGCGAGGCTAACAAGAACATAAGAAAAGGATACTTGTCATCAAGACTCAAGCATGAAGACTGGCTCCAGAAAGCCCAAAGCGATTTTCAATTCTTGATCTAATTGCTACGATTGACATCAGTGCTAGTACTAATTACCTACAGTAATTGTTTTGTTCTTAGCTAGCATGAGT